AGCAATGCTAACCTAGAAAAGGGAAATTAAATCATGACGTAGAGTAGGGTTGATGGCCACTGGTGCTACGTTGTCACCTAATGCTGTCCCAGTGTGATACCACACCTTTACAAGCTCTATACTACTAAGGTTAATTCACTGGATAGAAGCAGTTATTACTATTGTTTCATACATCAAATCATTCGATGACGCTTGATCATTGCATTCTGGGAAAGTGCCTAATGGCCGTAGATGTTGTTTTTAGGCCAACGTAAGGAGCGTTAAGGAAACTAGTTACTCCGATGATTGCTCCGTTTACAGGGAGGATTGCTAACTAATCCAGGTCCTTAAGGATCTAATGCTGTAAATACATGATCTGGTGTAGGAGTTTCTGGCCCCTCGGGACATGATACCATTATACATTAATTGATTGTAGTGCTGTAATTGCGGTTGAATTTTCTACTATATATCCTATTAAAGAATTCTCATCGAAGATTAAAAGTTAATTGAAAAGTGGAAGAAGTAGAATACATTTATTTGTATAATTTCCATGTTTACTCTACAACACTGGAATTGATTATTTTTTGCCACTGCGGCCCTGTTGACGTCTGTGATAGAAACATTTAGCTGGTTTGCGTAAGATTGGAGCATTTTGATGATTGTAGAAGATCAAAAATTATGTTTGTTTACTGAATCATTTGGAAGATTTCTAAAATAGCACTTGTTTTCTTTTTTCCTCAAGCACCTATTGGCTAAGGTTAAGATGGTCATTTTAATGTGTGATGTCATTCTAGGTGATTAAGAGTTGGAATAATGCATGGTCAGATGTCATGCTAGGAGGTCTATGGTTCAGAGAATATATCTAAACTTAAGACCAGATGAAGTGCTTGGTATCAGGACACTTAAGATAGCGTTGTAAAGGTGATACAAATTTGTTATATCTCAAGGAATGCTAATATTATACTATGTTAAAAAGACATCAAAATAGAAGCTAATATTGGGATTCAAGATCAGTAAAGGGTTTGACTTCAAGGTAGCACAGAATAGGACTAATTTACACTTAACATTTTAAGAAACTATGTGCTGTCAGAACCTTGTGTCAGAACTAATAGAACAAACTTGCCTGCTATCCATCACGTCGGACAGCGCTGATCACGATGGGTCACCAGGCATTTATCATCAGGTCTCCGTCAGGGTGGTTTTTACCGTCAATTTACCATGAAAGTTAACCATAGGTTAGCATTAATCAGTGTTTTAATGATTACAGCCAGTACTGCGTGTGATACTGAACATGACTAATCTGACACTCTCGTCGGGAGTTGTACATGTAAACTTAGAAGTAAATATAAGAACAGACATACATCAATTCAAACCTTATGTCTATATGTCCACAATTAAAACATTGTCAAGGAAATTTGATATTTATCAAGGGTTTTTATTATCTTTCTCTTTAGGTCAAGACATAAGTCAGTATGCTACCTTACTGTAATTTGTATCTTCTTTTCTTAAGAGTTCAGCTTAAGGAAACCTGGAAAATATCTTTATGAAATATAATTGGACTTAATTGATGACATATTTGCTGCAAAAGTACACACGAATTAAGGACGCATTAGAAAAATACACAATTAAAGGGTTCATAAGAATTGATGACTCATTTGATATGTACACAAGAAATGGTAACATATTTGAAAAATACACAAGATTTAATGCATGGATAGGCTATTCGAATCAAACTTTAAGTTGTTAAGGGAGATAATTCTAACACAAATAACAAGTATACATGTGATAAATCCCTCTTAGGGTTCAGTGTACTCCTTGAGAGTTCTACAATGTAGGTGTATTTTAATTATTACCCTATCTAGAAGGAAGAGTTATTGCCCCTTTATTGACCTTTCTCAACCTTTGTGCACTTGCTGTACAACTATCTGATCAGAAAGTGTGAATTATTGACTGTTTGGACGTGATTCTGTGTTAAATACAGCATGAGGGGAATATCTAGCCGATGTCATAACAAGAGTTATTGACCCTTAGTTCCACATACTACCACATTTCTTTCCCTTTTGTCGTGTATCAATGTTTACAAATACCTGGGATTGAGATAAAAAAAAAACACAATTATATATATCATCTGACACTTCCTGTTACACATTAAAACAAACATGTGGTGCAAATATTTGGATACAAATTTTATTTTGGCTCATAAAAAGCCAAGTACTGCCAAGACAGTTTACATTAAAGAGATTTTTATGATTGTTACATTTGATAGTGTGTTGAATTTCTTGACATTTGATAGACATTGAAAAGTTGTTAGAAGTGAGAAGTATTCTAGACTTGATCATGTATATATACTGCCTAACACATTATAAACCTAGGATTTGTGTTAGAGTGACCTCCCCTAAGAATGGCTACAAGCTAATAATTATCAATGAACACATTCTTGTATACCTTTTAAATGAGTTGGCAATTTATGAAAGAGGTCCAAATTACCATTCAGAAATGACATTTTGGAAGTTTTTTTATGTGGAACTCTTTTGGAATGGAGATTTATTTTCTCGTTAGGTAGTATATAACCTAAGACATTATTTGAAATTATGACACTATATCCTTTTTATATAAAAAAATATGATTACGTAGCTTTTATTGAAAAATGTCAACATTAGACAAATTGGATAAAGTAATGTGGTTATTGTAATACCAAGCCTCTCAGTAATTATTGAATTTGACTTAAATGAATCCTTAATCGATGTTGTATACAGCTAAATCATGAATATCTAATGAGAAAGGTTTTATTTATCCCTACCAAGATTGATTATAACCCCAATATTGGTTTATATTATATTTAAGAGGTTTCATAAAAGAAATGTATAAGTCTTGGTAAATGTCCTGTAAGTAAGTATGGAGATAATTCCTGATTTCGGCATAGAACACAGTAGTATTTGTGTGATTACCGGTGACATCAGAGCTATATTGATGACAACATTCTGGTGGCTACATGTGGATGCAGTGAGGAATGGGTGGTTTGTATGTTAATCTACAAGTGAATAATTGTGTCAGCAGTACTTCTACGCGAGGTATTTGAAATTCAAGACGGCAGGTCACACCATTGAAATGGTGTGCTGCGTTTGATGGCTGCAGCCATGTAATACATGCATGCGTAACGAACAGACAACAATGGAATTCTGTCGTTATTCTGTATATGGCAATATTGGAATTAGCATGGTTTGCATTTTGGCGTATTAGACATGTCGCACATTTCTCCCGGACGCCATTATTCTGCCAGTGTGTAGATAGGACTAGAAAACCAAATCAAAGGTGCTATGGGTCTGACCCCCCTCCCTATACCTCCAAACAGGAAGTCATGGTCGTGGGCACCACGACAGACCTTTGTATAACTGAGTAATGTGCAGTTATCTTCTACACCAGTGTGACCTTTCTGCTTACCATGGTCACTGGCAAGGTCAAGCTTAGTCTATTCTGTAATCATTCCACCTCCCATCATGCATCTTGTACAACTCCATTGTTCTTAATCAAGGTCAGGTAGACTCTTTTATTTCATGCTTTGTTACATGTAACGTTGCTAACGGATGATCTTGGTCACACATGGTCCCTGAAGCTATAGACAAAGTGATTGTAATCATTGCATGATAATGTTGTTACAAATTCTAGGTGTTGAAATCCTTGAGCCGATTATATCATTGGTGTTGAGAATTGGCCGATTTTGATAAACACCTAAATATATACTAGTAGATTGTACATAGATGTTCAACATCTGTCTATACACTGAGACCACTCAACAGAGGAAGCAAAAATGTTCTTTATGGTTAGGTTGGTAAATATAAACAGGTAGTTGCTATAGACAGGTAGTAACTATAGACAGGTGGTTGCTATAGACAGGTGATTGCTATAGACAGGTGGTTGATATAGACAGGTGGTTATTACAGACAGGTGGTTGATATGGACAGATGGTTATTATATACAGGTGGTTGTTATAGACAGATGGTTGATAAAGACAAGTGATTACTTTGGACAGATGATTGCTATAGACAGGTGGTTGATATAGACATGTAGCTATAGACACATGGTTGATATAGACATGTTGGTGCTATAGACAGGTGGTTTTTATAGACAGGTGACCTCTAAGCCCACGGTGACTGATACATTATCTTCCAATATGTCACACAGAATACATGCAGATGTACACCTGCAAACAGAACATTTCCCTTCACTTGAGAATCGTACAAAGTCAGGTCTCTAGGTTTTTTAGGTCACCTGAGACAAAGTCTCAAGTGACCTATTGCGATCGCCTTTTGTCCGTCGTCGTCCGTCGTGCGTCCGTAAACAATTTACATTTTCGACTTCTTCTCCAAAACCACTGAACCAATTTCAATGAAATTTTGCAGGAACCTTCCATGGACAAAGGTCAACAAAAATAGT